GGGGGGGGGGGCAGTCCATTTCAGAGACAGATACTAATTAACAGCCGGTAAGCAGGCAACTTCAACCACACTCCATCAGTGTTCTGGCCTGTCAAATGGGGAAAATGATGCTACCGAGGGGAGCAGATGGGCAGAAAGGATACGATGATAGCCAACAAGTCTCTGTGGCACTAAGGAGGGCAGGAGCGGGCAAGACCAGAGATACGGGAAGAGCTATCACTGCACTGGGATGAAAGGAGGAGGGGAAAACTATCCCAAATATTTTCTTAGATCCACACTGGAAATACCTAAGGTGTCAAGACATTTTCATTAAAAATTCACCTCCAAAAGATTTGAGTTAAATAAAGCCTTATGCATCTATTTTTCTTGCAGGTCCCCCTCTATGCCTCCACTCCTGCCCCTTAGAATCAGGTAAAACCCAGTTTAAAGCCCTCCAGTCCCAAAAGAAAAAGTGGGAGAGGGTTGGAAGGCTGAAGAAGGGTGGGAGCACAGATCAGGAGGTCCTCGGAGCTTTCAACGGCCAAAGGGGAGAGAGGATGTTAGTCCCAGGAAGGTCCAAAGTTCTCTGATCCAAACCTCACCCAGGTGCAGCCTAACCCAGGTAGCAACACTCTCCTCACCCCGTTCCCCTCCTGACTACCTGCAGCTGTGATGAGCTCACCTTCTGGCCTGCCCAAGCCAAATTCTCGGCACGCCCCATCCCCTGAAGCCGAAATCCCCACTCAGCAAAGAAACCTAACTCTAAGCTTGGTCCACTCTCAGAATGATTCAGGCAAGAAAGATACAGGCCACTCTTTCTTGCAGCTGCCTTCTTCTGAAAGCGAGATAGGCACTGCAGGACAGGCCACTAAAGAAAGGGGAGGGGTCTTTCCAGTGCCTTGAACCGTGGGGGTGCCCCCAAATACCAACTGACTCCACCTTTGGCCTTGCCCTGCAAAGAAGATAACCACCTAAATTTTAATAAACATTTTAGGGGCCCTGCTAGGTGAGGAGATACTGCAGGCTACATGTGGATGGTGAGGGACATGATCCTGTAAACCAGGGACACGAAAGCTCCCTAGAACCAGGAGCTGCACACACCCTGTTAACAAGAGCTACTATTGCCTTGGCTGGCATGGCTCAGTGGTTAGAGTGTCAGCCCGAGGATTCGATTCCCAGTCAAGGGCATGTACCTAGTTTTCGGGTACGATCCCCGGCCCTGGTCGGGGTGCATGGAGGAGGCAACCAATCAAACTGTCTCTCTCTCACATGGCTGTTTCTCTCTCTCTCTCCCCCCTTCTACTCTCTCTAAAAATCAATGGAAAAAATATCCTCCGGTGAGGATTAACAGAAAACAAACAAGAGCTATTATTTCATTCACCTGCCAGGCACTGAGCTAAGCACTCTTCACATACCAGCTCATCTAACCCTCAAAATCCTAGGTGATAAGGCCTATCATTACCTTCATTTGCAGATGAAGAAACTGAGGCTCAGAGAAGTTAAATGACTTGACAAAAGTCACACAAACAGCAAGAGGCAAAGCCTGAATAGAAATGGGCGTTTTGACTTCAAAATCCTAGTATTTACCCACTATAGTCTCCTCCCTATAAACCTGAAAACTTTCAGAGTCAGGGAAAGACACAATGTATTCCCCGAGGCTCCCCCCACTGTACAGGACATGAAATCTAGGGCCACAGAATCCACAGCACTGGTTAAAACCCCATCACAGGCTCCTTTTGGATAGAATAAAGAAATGGGATAAAGAAGATGGTAATAAAAATATAAAAAGTTGTCCCAAAGTCAAATTCCAGCCCAGGTCCTACACTAAAGAATGGCGAGCCAGCCTCAAGCAAATCTCATCTGACTCCAATTCAGCTTCCCCTTCTACTGTGGAGCTAAGCCACCTGTTCTGTATACTCCACACTGTCATTGACAAAGGGAGAAATGTACATCATGCAGATCGGGATTGATCAAGACAGCAGCAAGTTTACCCGAAAAGGACAAGCAGAATGCTAGACTAGTCTGGGAAGTCAGTCTTCATGGAACATGTGGGACTTGAGATTCTCCTCTTCAATAAAGGGGGGGGGGGAGTGTTTAACCAATGGAGCTGAGAATGGGTTAAAGGAGAAGAAATGTGTGAGCACAGGCAGAGAGGCCAAGAAGCAGCACATTTTTAAAGAGTGAGCTTCCAAGTGTAGCCAGAAGCAAGGCGGGCGAGGAGATGGTGAAGTAATGGGGATACAGCTGCTGAGCTGTGCAGAGCTTTAGAAGCTTGCTGAGAAGTCTGGACTGTTCTCAGTAGACCAAGGGCATCAGGTGTATGAAAAAAAGGAATGCCCCGGGATCGAGGCAGGGCCTCAAAGCGAATCTGCACAGCGTGGGCACAGACCCGAGAGAGAGGTGGTGACTGTCACACTCAGGTGGTCAGAGCAGACGCAGGGACACAGGCCGGAGGACTGGGAATGTGGTGCTGCCTGAACTTGGCAAGTGAGGTGGGCACGGCGAGGGGCACAGAGGAGGAAGGTTACCAGAGATGACCCAGGTTTGGGACCCGAGAGGAGGGGGAGAGCAGTTCACCAGCTGCAGCAGGAGTCAGAAGGAAGAGCTAGTCTGAGGGGAAAGCTGGCACCGCAGCCTGTAGCTCAGGACAGACAGGAAAGAGACAAAGAACTGGAAAGTGATAGTTAAAGTCGTGGGAGGAGGTGAGACCGGAGAGAAAGACGGAGTGGAGCGAGGAGGAGCTATGTCGGTGAAGGATATTTTCCAAGTCAGGCGACCACCAAAACAAGATGTAATTATCCCTATCATTAACAGCGGCAGGGGCCACGAGGCCCGGGGCCGGGAGGGCTGATGCCCGCCGCGCAAACGCTGCCGCCGCGAGCAGGGCGCAGGCGCTTCCCCCTGTGGCCAACAACACCGGGGGCCTCAGGGCCACGCGGGGTCCGCGCCGCCCGCCCGCGCTGCCCGGGTCCGACGAGGCTTTAATCATTCACCTGCTGGTCACGAAACGCGGCTCCGGGGGCCCGAGCTCCAGCCGAGCGACGGCAGCATCCGGAGGAGGTTGGGCGCCCCGCTTCCTTCCTGCGCCGCAGCCCCTCCGCGCGCGGGGACCCCTCTCCGGACGCGCTCACCCGCTCCTCCCAAGCGCGACCCG